TTATAGTCAATTACCTCAAGGACCTCCGGATCAACTTGAATACGTGAACTTACTTGAGTGGTAGAATGAACTATATTCAAAGATGATGGCCGTAATGACGAACGTGGTCGCGATACTAGAGTTGGGGAGTTCAAAATCAACCTGACACCTAGATACTTTCAATCGACCGTCTCCGACTTATCGGTTACCTTGTTCAATTGAGTAGTCTGAAAATATGGACGCATTCAGAATGATTTGTTTTTCCGAGAACAAGTTGATTTTCATTCAATTCTCTTCCCAACCGAGATTCGTAGGGCGTTCCAAATTTGGGTCACTTTCAAGAAAACTCTAGATCTCTGATAGCCATCTTGAGTCAATTCTGATATTCAGATCTCTTCATCTGAAGTTTCATCTTCAAAATGAGCCTAAGATTTCTAGAATCGGTTGACTTGGAAAAAAGTTATGGCTGCGAAACCAAAAAGTTGATTTTTTGAGATCATTCTGTAAATAAGAAAGATAGGAAGTTGATTCGCGAAATATCTCGAGGTAATGAGATCATCTTCATGCCTCTGTTGTCGAAGTTGAGAAAAAAAAATGTTTTCACTATTTGAAAGCCTTTTGAATATTCCGAAATTTTGCACAGTGTCGGAAAACACCATGTAGAGATTTTATGTGAATACCCTTATGTTTCAATGAAGTACGAGATTATAGCTGAAGGACTGGGCTATCGAACGGTGTAAACCAAATTCAAATTGTTCTGAACTGAAAAAAGTTATTCACATTATAACAGGGGCGACATTTTGGTGTGCGACGAAATTAGTGTTGAGTAGTTTACATCACGCAGTACAAGCAAAGCTAATGGTTTAGTTATATGCATCATATGTGTTGAGAAAAAAGATTTTTTTCATCATCATCGATTCTGAAAGTGGTATAATATGGCAAGACAGTTTGAGACAGTAACGATTGGTTATTATCGAAATTAAAAGTTGAGATAACCATATAAAGTGATCGAAGTATCTCTACCCTAACCTGCCGAATGATCAGTGAAAAGTGGAGACAGTAGTAAATGGAAAAGGAAGTGTCAGTTGAAATGGGTTGAGAGCAGTGCTGACTGGACAAGAGCAATTATTGTTTGATTTTGAGGAAAATGATGATGATAATGATGATACGAATATGGATGGTCTTGTGTCGGCTAGTAAACCAGTCAATGTGATTTATTTTTGTTGGTGTGCAATAGGTAACTGCAAATATTCAGTAATCCTGCAATTAGGTGTGACAAAAATTTTGTGTCTGTTCGAAAACGATTACTGCAGTAATCTGTTTTTTTAAAGCTGCTGCAGTAGCTTAATGCTGAGATATTGTGGAGAAAGATTGATGCTGTAGTTTATTCTAAGAGTTATATCATGTTGCAATATAATATTGAAATTGCTGTGTGATAGCTATTCGTTGGAGTAAAGAAAGATGACTGCATAAATCTGTTCTTGAGCTGCTGCGGTAGCTGGTTGTTGAGATGTTGTGGAGAAAGTTTGTGGCGGTAATCTGTTCTAGGAATTGTGATTTGAAAGAGATTCGGTGTTTGCTCACACTTGAGTTGATGATGCAATTGAATTGAATTGTTAGGATGGATTAATGAAAATGAGCGATAGCAATTGGGTTCTAGGTGAAACTTAAGATAGCGCACGAGGACATGCGACATGTTAGAATGACCATGTCGGCGCCGTTAGATTTCATTAGGAAGAAACTGTCATTTCAACTATCTTGAGTTAACGTAAACTGTTTAGCGATGGTCGTGTTGGACACCACTCATATAACTGTTCAGTCTAGAAGTGAAAAGGACGCACTTATAGCAATAATAAGTTGGACAGAATGAGGCCGAGAGGAGGAAGTAGAGAAGAAATGAGTCGAACAGTTATCAACAGGCTGGCAGAATAGAATTGTCGGCCTCGAAATGCTTGTTTCCTCAATCCGGATTTAATATATACGCTTTTTATCAAAGTTTTAGCTTGTACGCTTGTAGTGCTTGTTGTTGGTATCTTGTTTATTAGTTGCCATGATTGATTCAATTATCAAGTCTGCTCACTAGCGGTGGTTTGATCAGAACGTAATTTAAATACGTCCCTATCAATGAGAATCTGATAAACATATTCAGGGAACTCTTGATATCAACAACTTCCACTACATGCACTAGATTGTCTGGTATTAAATTAAGGGTGAACAAGTCTTACGTTGAGAGTCAAACTGAATCAATATTTAATATTCAAACATTTTGGTATTTTGACTATACCTATACAATATATTCGAAGGAGCCTCATGACCTCAGAGGCATATTAATCACATGAACTGAATTCTGTAAAGTGTACCTAACTGGTTAGTCCTCCATTCGCATTCAACCAACAAGGTGAATTAGCACCCACAATTATCACTATAAAAACTGACCTCACTCAACATTTATCATAACTTTTTTCATGTCATACCAATCATCTTATATGGAATAAAGCATCTTGTATATAAATATCTCACAAAATATTAACATCATTTCCCAAGAACCCATACCCGTCTTCACTGAGCATTATTGGGATGGAATAAAATAACCAAAGGAAGGTTTTGAAAATAACCTCAACCATAACCATAACATGAAGTGTGGCGAGTGGTATTCTGATATGTTCAGAGTGTGTTATTTACCTATAATAGATTCTTTTTACTTATCATAATTTTCACTAATAAGAGTGTTAAATTGTTTAATGGTGGCTTGAATAATATTCGTACATACACAGAGAATAAATGTTGACTCAAGGTGTTCCATTGAAAATTTGATTTTTCTCCACATACAGGGTGATATTGATAGCACGATATTCTCAGAGATTTATTGCATTGCCTTAGGGACCAGTTTAATCTATCTTGAGTATTTGCAGATTTTCATAGGGTGTTCCGTTGAGTTTTTTGGCATTTAGAATCATTTGATACTTGAGTTAATTCCAAGCAGGTGTAAAACGAAAGTGTTTTCCTGATGAATGAACTCTTGGATACTGAGTATACATTATAACAGGGGCGACATTTTTGTGTGCGACGAAATTAGTGTTGAGTAGTTTAGATCATAATAACTATCAGGACAAAACCTACTATGATCATGAGCGTATACCTACTGCTTTTTTCAAGAATATTACCACATGATTTCCACACTTGGAAAAATGTGAAATCTCACTCGAGGTCCACTCAACGATGTATCAACTTCAGTCCACGTCCAACTGAGTTGAAAATGTACCCTATTTTCCTGTTATAAAAAGCTACTCATGGAGCTAAGTCATTCATATTTGTTTTAAATTATCTCATTATCAGAAACAACTATTGAAACATCTAAATTCAGTTGAGAATTCATTCCAAAATTCCACTCAGCAGACCATAACTCATAATTATATATGCCATCTCCCAAAGGGATGTTTTGCAATGCAAAAACATCGGTAAGAACCTCGTGCCAAACATTTGCAAAAAATTTTTTCTATTGACTGCAAATGACATTGCCAAAATTGGACTAGTTCCTCCAGACTCCAGATGTTCCACGTGAATCACAACTATCCACAAACATTTTGATATTATTGGAAACCTAATAAAATTTAAACATTTTTTCAAAGTCTTTTGCAAACTCTGGATATTTCAAATCATTATCAATTCGATCAATCAGAAGGGCAATGAATAATCGTTCAGTTCAGTTTGAGAACTCAAGATTTATAAACCATCTGGAAACCGTGTATCTTCCTTCTCGCACGTCTCTGCATCTCTCTGACTAAAATCTGCGGGAACTATCAGTAGAGATGATTGAACATTACTTATTGCCAGTTTAGAGTAAAGTCAATTTTACGTCACAATCCAATAACAATTGAATCTATAAAAGTGCATTCCGTCAAGTTCAACTAGTCAACCAACAATAATTTCAAATAATTTTCAGAGTCAACACTGATATCTTTTGAAATCAAGTCAAGGCCGCAATAAATGATATATCAGGGTTCGGTTTTCGGAAATTTGGAAGTTGTTTTGTATATATTCAAAATAATCAATAAATTATCGATGAGAGTTTCGTACTCACTCGCACTTCCTGTTTTTCAGTATCTGTTCATTGACAGCTATTCTAATTGAGATGATAGTGTTCTAGTAATTTCCCTAACGAGTTCGGAAAGTGATACTTTTCCGCACGCGACTGTCGTTGGCCCGAACGACGCGAAGCGGAGTTCGGGCAAGCAGTCGAGTGCTGGAAAGATACTTTCCGCATGAAACAATATTCAAACTTCCATAGTCCATCAACAACCACTTATATTTTGCGATTATATAATATTTCAATTTTTTCCGCACTGTTGCGGGAGAATAACACTACCCAAACAAACTAATTTGCTTGCTGGTATAGGGTGGAGCACGCATGCTTGTAGATCCCCACCCCCATGATTAGCTTCAAGGAGATAATCACTAGGGCAGGTACCTGGGAACTAGGGAGATTCATTAGCATTTTCGCTATTCACCTTCGTGATTGTCGGAAATATCTTCGATTAATTCGTCTGTGAATGATTTCAATTCAAATACATAAAGTCAACTTGCAACTAAAACACAGATCTCGAACTACCAAATACGAAAGCTGAGCCTCCTACTGAAACCGATTTCATGAGCAGGTGCGGCTTCGCCATAGTTACGAGGGATTACGTTCCTTGGCATGGGTCAATCTCTGCTTAGACCACTTCACTTCACTTGGCTAAATCTAAATGATCAAAACTTAGACTTCTAGATATTGGCCTGTGTAGCCAAATTGGTAAATTCATGAGTACCACAGAAATACTACTACCATCTACCATTTCTGCGAATATAGTAAGCAAGTTTGTTCAGTATAGGTCAGGAAGTGCTTTGTGAAATCAACTATATATTTTCCGCGTGCATACGGTGGTGTTATTCAAAGTTACGAATTTAAAGTCATCATATACATCATAGGTGGCATCATAGATTCCACATCTGGTAGTTTGGTGATCTATGACTATACTCACCAAAAAATAGATTGTCCGATTGTAACACTTAGCACAGAAACATCCTACAAATGACAAAACCAGACTGACTACGCCCAGTATAATGACCCATGTTGGTAATTCCATGAAGTCCAATCCAATGTAAGGTTTGGGCCATTTCAATTCATGGGTGTACGCAACACCAAGGGCCGTTAGAGAAATACTTAAGATCTGAAAGCAAACAATATTCATGAAAAAGTGAGTAATTGTCATGAGAAATTGTCGGAGCACAATCTCAAATTCAGCATTATTGGAGGAAATCAGTATTCACAGAACTTTTTTAATTACAACTTCCTTTCGAATGAGGCAAGATACGATCAAGTAGGCCAGTCAAACTATACACAAAAAATCGGTAAATTCGCACATACATGATGTATCCCTGATTTTCCAGTATCTTTTTTGGACCCATGAGGGTGGTGATGTTAGTATATACACAAGTTTGCAACTCTCTAAAAGTTGGGGAAAGAGCGTAGCACAGGAAATATCGTGAAATATTCGGACTTTCTTCAGTTTTCACTCTGTTGAACTATGCATTGTTCGACGAAAGACTAAGTAAACGTTTGTGAAGTACTTTGAATGTGTGATAATTCAAGCCTAACCAAAGTCCTGTAAAACGATGATTCACCAAATTACGGCATTTTGAAATTACGCCATTTTTCCAAAAAAGTTGAAAAAATTTCAGTGTCAGACCTTCTCTAGACCAAAATTGCGGCTGAACCATGGATCCTACGAGTAGAACCCATCGAGCAAGTTTACCTCGAACTACTTTTATACCTGGTGAAATGACTGGGGTTGAAAATCAACCTCCTCAAACCCTTTTTCAAGGGATGCAGAGGTGGCTGCACTTGCCCGGTAGCAAATGTTCCCGGATGTGTGCTCTTGCTCTGGAGAAACGTGCCACACCTATCATCATCGAAGGAGACGAAGAAGGCAAGCCTCAAGACAACTCTGATGATTCACCAATAGTGAAGGACCTACCTGTTGAGAGGTGCATCGAAAATAACGGCCCAAGGCCATCAAAAACAAGATGAGGATTTCGACTATATGTGTTCGTCTATATTTGATGGATGGATTGATTGATTGTTTGTTTGATTGATTGATTGATTACTGTAAGTTTGATGATATATTCTCATATTAGGATATTTTATACCGTTTTTTCGAATGCACGCCTTTTTTACAATACCACACCAAACAACGAAAGATAAGAAAGAAAGGTTTTGGAAAATTTCTGGAAAATGCGAGATTATCTCGTATAGGTTTTCTCTAGATTCTGAGAGAGCTACGAGGCTACGAGGGCTGCAGACCTTGCGTGGAGGTCAATTTGAAGCTTATTGAAATGCCTGAAACTTTCATATTATGATTTCTACTCGTATGATCAATGATTTACCATCAATTCTGGTCTAAAGAAGGTCAGAAACTAACATTCTCTTTTCTGGAAAAAATGGCCTATTTTCGAAGTTCCGTAATTCTCTAACTGATAGATTCCCAGTTGAACGATGGATTTATGTTCTCCATTTCATTGAGAAAACTCACTCATGAAGTTTGAACCCCTTGATTGGGTATGAAAGTTCTGAAAATGAATATCTTCAGATATATTATGAACATGAAAAAACATTATCTCAAGTTTAAATTTTTTTACTCTTCATAATATATCTATATACAAGGGTTCGGAAAAGAAAAATCAACAATAATTGACGCAGTTTATATAATGACTCATACAATAGAAAAGTTGTAACCAACGACGGATACACAGAAAAAATGGAGATAGAATCAGAAGTGAGACAGGGATTCGCCCTATCAACAACACTTTTCATGAGAATAAGGCAATTCAAAACAGTACCCAAATTGTAGGATATGCGGACGACCTGGCTCTGATCATTAGATACAAAAAAATATAAAGCAATTAGTTACAGAACTAGAGAACGAAGCAAGAAACAGAGGACTGGGAATCAATGAAGAAAAAAAGAAAGAACAAGAAATAGCGATAGAGATCCCAAAAGGAATGGAAGCGGGAAACAGGGCATATTGGAAGGACTTGACTTCACTCAGAGATAAAAATATACGATTATACCAGGCCGCAATTAGACCAATGTCACCTATGGAGCTGAAACAATGATTTTAACAAATGAAAAAGAGATAAAGCTGAAAATATCCGAGAGGAAAATAATGAGAAGAGTACGAGAGACCCTGAGAACAGAAGAAGGGGAACAGAGAAGACTAATAAATCATAGAACAAAAGAAACAATGGATTTTGAGGACATTGTGAAGATCATCGATGCACAAAGGTTGAAATGGTATGGACACCTACCTAAGAGAGAACCGGATAGGATGGTTGAAAAAGTGTTGAAATGAAAACCACAAATAAACAGACCAAGAGGGAGGCCAAATTCAAGATGAAAGGACGAGATATCGAAGGATATAAAAACCATGAGGATAGATGATTTAAGAAAAAAGATAGGAATGACTGGCACTAAATAACCGAAAAGGCAAAGCCGCACAACAGCATGTGACCAAGTACAGAAGAAAGAAGACCAGCGGAGTGATTTACCGCAAGAATTGAATCAGAGTGAACAGCCGATCATATTTTCTTCTCCAAAATATTCACATCATTCAAAAAATGAACCATACGGTTATGTAGCCAATTTATGAAAATATCATCTATATATCTTCACCATAAAAATAAAATAATAATACATTCAATTCGCCAACAACGGTTTTTCCAGAAACAAAGTGATGCATATTGACTGATATAATATTGTTTTGTGATACAGACTGTTTTCTTACAACCAACATCTCATTGGGATTCAGTTCATTGTTTGTTGATTTATAGTTACTTATTGAATGGTACATTATTGAGGTTTCGAACACCTCGAGTTCAGAGGAAAACAATATTAATATAGTCAACCTGACCTTGCGCGGAACAGCTCATTTTCCATCTCAATTAAAATATTTGAAATTCTGATGGATAAAACAATTGCTTCATCCAGTCCTCAAAATTCGTATACCAATGTGTTCCACTTCAAGTGAGGACAATTCATGATTTCAGAACGGAATTCCTGATCCTCAAAAACCATTTTTAAACATAAAGCTGTCCGGCCTCGCTTCGCGTTGGTGTAGCCATTCAAAAACAAAATTCCATTTTTTGCAATTGATATGAGCTATGCGCGTAGCTTCCGTACATATTTTTTTTTTGTTTTTTAATTTTTTTGAGCTTACCTATAGGTAGGTATATATACTTACATCTATTTTTATTGGCTCATTTGATTTTTTTTGTTCTACGTATTTGAAATTTCAACTCAATCGGTCGAGCCGTTATGTAGTTGACGTACCAACAGCAGCCCCACCTACTGCGTCCAATTGTATTTTCCAATCATTCAGGAAACCATCGACCTGTTTTCCCGTAGAAATGAAAGTTTCTCCGCGGTCAAAAGAAGCCCATATTCATCAGTGATAAGGCCGTTTTCTACTCGTGAGAATTTTTCAAATCGGCTTGAACGAACGAACGAACGAACGAACGAACGAACGAACGAACGAACGAACGAACGAACGAACGAACGAACGAACGAACGAACGAACGAACAAACGAACGAACGAACAAATAAACAAACTAGTCTCTCCTCTTTATGATATCAGTAGAGACATGATAGCAGTCGATATGGAAATCGCATATGGATAAATCTTTCATAATTCAAGCCAGGCAAACAGTAGATGAGCCCTCTTCTTGTAAAAAATCCAGTAGGTACCTAGTCGGTTATATTTCTATATTATCAAACCTCATGTTTTAGGGGCGCTGAATCAGAATATGACATATTTTTGAATGTAGCTTTCCATGTACACATTAAGAAAATTGAATGATTCATAGAGGGTTCGGAAAAATTGTCATAGACGTCGTGACTCAAACGTGTTTGCAACCTGTATATTTAATTTTTCCGTATGAATGTGGCGAACTGAATTTGAAAATAGACCTTTCAGGAGACTCCTACATACATAGATACACTGTATGTATCAATTTCTTCATGTTCATGAGATATATTATATAAGAATATTTCTTCTCATTGATGTAGGAGTATATTTAAAAAATGGACATTCATGCAGAAAATTTCAATCTGGTAGCTTTATGCGAAAAAATTATTTGAATTTTCATCAAGTTTGCAAGGATTTTTCTTTCTCAATATGCATTTCGTGCGATAAGTTAACCTCCACTCATATTTTAATGTATTATCACCCTCAGAAAGTTCGGTACACATTTTTCACTCACCATGTACAAGGTTTGATTTTAGTGCCAGAGGTGCAAATTCAGGTGCAAATTCTCATGACAAACTCGATGCTTTGAAGATGTTTTCATATCTTCTATATTACCTAGTTCAAAAAAAACTTGTTCTTATAAGGAAATATTTTTATATTTTCATCACACTAGAAGACTGATTCAAGTGCCTGAGCCTGATGATACGATATTTTGGCAAATTAACAAGATTATTCTACAAAACATATTCAATTCATTTTTCCAAAATGCTCATTGTTTATGTATTACAGTGTGTCCGTTGAAGTATGATGGAATAACTTCATTATCAAATACTGTCTGAAAATTTTCCTGGAACGAGTTGATTTTCATCCTCAATTTGCCACATTCATACAAGGTGTTTTCAATGTTCAAGGTGATCCACGTTTGACTAATGACGTCCACGACAATTTTTTCGAATGGAACACAATATAATTCAATTTTTGGATCCTCATTAGGCATATTCATCCAAAGATATACTACTAAGAAAATGTATATACAGTGCGTCCGTTAAAGTCAGTGCTCTAGTAAAGAAATGGACAAATTCATAGAGAAATTGTGACAAAACATTCAACGTCGAATTTCACATAAGCACTGAATTTAACGGACGCACACTGTATACAACCCTATGTATGATGAATTTTTGAATTCAGCTCTTCATGGAGATTTCAGAAATTGAATATTATATAGGGTTTTCCATTCGAAAAAAATGTTGCAGACGTCGTTACTCGAACGTGTTTAACCCTGTATCAGTTAGCTATCTAGTTTGAAAAAAGGACTTTCCCATTTGTTGATATTTAAGATTTTACCCACTCTGTACATGAGCTAATGAAATATGCAATCAGTTTTCATGATGAAACAATGCTCAGAACATACTCAACGGCGAAAAAATCGGCCAGAATTTTTTTTTTTTTCGAATTGGGCGCTCTGAAACTTTTTTAATTCTTGTCCGATTTTGGTAAAATGTCGATCAAATCAAAAAATCATGTCTATGACTACTAGTCTGAATTCTAGTTTCCAAGGAATGCTGGTGGCTTGATCAATATACAGGGGGAAAAATTACTCTTCACCCTTACCTCCTCAACACCTCATAGCAAAAGTGAACAATAAAACTCAGCTACATTATACTTTGGATTGAACTGTGATCCTATCTCAATACAATAGTTCTCGATTCACGTGATTTTTCTTCATACAATCGTTTTGAGGAAGTAGGAAATATTTTAATGTTCATGAAAAATAATTATGATGGGGCATTTTTACGTGCGAGCAAAGCGAACTCATCTATTATTGATTCTGAAAAACATTTGGAAATCAATATCACCTATGCCCACCACTTTCCTTGGCACTCACCGGCAAAAAAACCTTAATTCCAAAAAACAAACAAAAAGCAAACCTAGATATAGTCAATAAAGAGGTTGCCCTCCTCGAGTTCAAATCACAGCAATCAACCGCCGTGTCATCGAGTTGATCAAATTCCCCAAATAGTCAATTGTTTCAAATTCTTCTAGGAAGGCGAATTGCAGATCTTGAAAAGTCTCTGGCAAGGCCAAACGAAGACGAATCCGCTTCTGGAGTTCATACCAGAGATGTTCTATAGATTCCGATTTAGGTATTGCTAAAAGAAATTGAAAATGTTCATCCTTTTTCAAAACAATTGTATTTTCTATCAAAGAACGATATTGACGTGAATCAAAAACCCTTGTGATAAAAATAGATCACACTACAATCTGAAACAAAATGAAACCATCAAGTTCAACCACTGATTTTGTCACAGGCTGGTAAGGACTTGAAGGTGGAAGAGTCACTTATGTTTTTCCTGTATAATGATCAAGCCATCATCATTTCTAAAGAACAAAAGTCCAGGCTTACACTTCAAAACATTAAACTTTGCATAAACTATATCAGCGTCGACTTCCAAGCACAAACCTTCCAAGTCAAATGTCAGTGCAGAAGTCACTTCCATATAGACAATATTATAATGCAAATTGATTTTCTGATTCGTATTTTCATCAAAAACTAATCTGTTTGAGAGTTCAGAAGGACACTGCATATTGTTGACCTAATGATCCTGAAACAGACATGCTGATACATGAATATTAGTGAATACAGTTCCAGTAACTACGATGTACAACAAAATGAGCATGTTGCATTTTGAAAAAATACTGCATGGAGGTGTGACGTCTATACCAGTGTGACCAATTGAGATGTTTTTCTGCTGAATCTGATGGTTTTTATTTATAGGTGAAGTGTGGAGATGTTGATGATAGCACAGGGGTTTTTTACCAAAAAATATACAGCAGTCGCTATTTTCTCAAATAATAATTATATGGATAATAAGAGGAGGATCATTAATTACGAAGTCGAATTCACCATAATATTCTTTGATAACTTCGTGAAGGAATAGGGGCGGATATAGGTCAGTTTGAAGAGAAATATTATATTGGAATAAACATCCTTAATATTCCCAATCAAGTGAACAGAAATACGAAAAGTGAGTCCGAAAATTTCGTTCAATTTCCAGTATGTCTAGCTTTGCAATAATCATGTGAACCAATTACACCGTTTTTCACTTGAAATGGAATTACTCAGAACCATAGATTGAACAAACAATGTCAGAACATATAATACGAGTATAGTTACAAGGTACAATACAGATTCGACCAAATATCATTCATATCACGTTTAACTGCAATTTCTCTTTCTCCGAGTTCTAACTTCCCAAAAATGATGATTCATCCGAGTGGTCAAAAGTAGAAAAGATACATCAGAAAGTTTCGTTGAATTTTCAGTAGTTCTAACTTTGCAATAATCATGTTCATGTGAACCAATTACAACGTTTTTTACTCGAAATGAAATTACTATATTGACTCTGTCAGATTACTAAGAACCATATATTATAAATTAAAAAAACTCTGTCAGAACATAATACGAAAGTAGTTACAAAGTACAATACAGATTCGACCAAATATCACTCATATCAGGTTTAACTGCAATTTCATTTTTCTCGAGTTTTAACTACCCAAAAATGATCCATCCAAGTAGTCAGAAATAGAAGAGGTACATCCGAAAATTTCGTTCAATCTTCAATAGTTTCAGCTCTGCAATAATTATGTGAACCAATTACAACGTATTTTACTCGAAATGAAATTACTATATTCACTCTGTCAGATAGGTACTCAGAACTATAGATTGAACAAACTATGTCAGAACATAATACGAGCAAAGTGACAAGGTACAATACAGATTCGACCAAATATCATTCATATCACGTTCAACTGCAATTTCATCTTCTTCGAGTTCCTACTTACCAAAAATGATGACTCATCCAAGTGGTCAAAAGTAGAAAAGATACATCAGAAAGTTTCGTTAAATTCTCAGTAGTTCTAGCTTTGCAATAATCATGTGAACCAATTACAACGTTTTTTACTCGAAATGGAATTACTATATTCACTCTGTCAGATTACTCAGAACATAATACAATAATTATTTTTCTACAAACGTCAAAAAATGACAAGGTTCGCGCATTGATAACAAACTGCGAAGTGACACTTTTTTTCAGTTTCCTACGTTACCATGATACCTTGCACATAACAATGCGCGAAGTAAAACAGTGCGCGAAGTACCTACTTCGCGCATTGTAATGTAAAATTAATGAGATATTTATTTTTCAACTATATGGTCCTCAATCGAGCAAACATCCATGAAATCATTTATTTCTGAATGTTCAACAATAACTTTGTTTTATCTCATGAGTGCACGAAAGGAAATTCGTATGTTCGTGGAACATCGTGCGTACCTAGGGAGGATAGGGGGAGACCTTTAAAGCCAGTTCAACACTATTTTTCATATCTAGCTAAGCATATTTTTACTTTAGAACTATATTTTTTGACGTTTGTAGAAAAAATGTTGTTTGCAACTCGAGCGCGAAATACTTTGGTCATCTCGACTATTTTTTTAACTCGGCTACGCCTCGTTAAAAAAATCAGATCTCGATCACCAAAGTAGCATTTCGCGCTCTAGATACAAAAATAACTATTTTATATCTAGAGCGCGAAATGCTTCTTTGGTGATCGAGATCTAATTTTTTCAACAACTACGCGTAGCCGAGTTAAAAAAATAGTCGAGATGACCAAAGTATTTCGCGCTCGAGTTGAAAACAACATTTTTTCTACAAACCTCAAAAAAAATAGTTCTAAAGTAAAAATATGCTTTGCTATCCTCCCTAGGTACGCACGATGTTCCACGAACATAATAGGAATTTCCTTACGTGCACTCCAAGAGATAAAACAATGTTATTGTTGAACATTCAGGAATAAATGATTTCGTAGATGTTTGCTCGATTGAGGACCATAAAGTTGAAATATAAATATCTCATATATTTTACATAGCAATGCGCGAAGTAGGTACTTCGCGCATAGTTTTGTGCAAGGTATCATGGTAATGTAGGAGACTAAAACAAAGTATCACTTCGCAATTTGTTATCAATGCGCGAACCTTGTTTGTAGAAAAATATAGTAACTCACAAGGAACAATACAGATTCGCCCAAATATTATTCATATCACGTTTACTGGCAATTTCATTTTCCTCGAACTTTAACTACCCAAAAATTATGATCCGTGTGCTCTCAAATTGAGAACCACTTGTTTATTCACAGAATCATCTTCAGTCGTAAGCATGAAATAATATACCTCTGTGCGCACGCACTTAGATTCGTCAAAAACTGTTTGTTTTTGTGAAATTCACCACCCTCAATAAGCCTAATATGAAGACATAATTCATTAGCTTACCCCGAAACAAATGCTGAACACCAATAAAGCAACCCTGAGCACATTCTCATTTGGTGCAAACTTCATCCTCATGTATCGCTTTCTCAACAAATTTCCAAAATCACTGAAAAACAATCGTGAGCTAAAAAGATTCATGTTTACACCTGCTGATTAGATAACGCTCACTTTTAAAATCAAATATTATGGGTAAATCACATCGCTTAATGCACGATGGAAATCCTGATTGAAAACACTCTACTCCGCTAATATACAAACCGGTATGGTGTCAATATATATAGTTGAAGGTAATATAATGCTCTTTGGGAAGATGATTCAATACTATATTGTTTTGCCTACAAACTGATAATCATGTCGCATACATAGATATAACATTGAACATGAAATCTCTAGTCTCATGCAAAAAGACTTCTTTCCAGGAACTGAAAGTGTTACCTAGGGCGCTGCTGAATTTTCATAGTATTGATATCGTTTCGAATATTCGCAAACTCTTTTGGAAATTCTTCTAGAGAGTATAGGAAGATAATTATATTCTGAATGGATAACGTATGCAGATTCATGGTAAGGTCAGATATATATTCTCAATTCATTCAATAGTTATTGCAACTTTTTTTGACATTTTCTGGATGATTGTTGAAGGTCTATGGATCTCGATCTCACTGTCAAAATTCTTGGTGAATTTTGAATTTGGTAAGATATAATATGCGTACCTAGAGGAACGTTATAACTTTTGCTATTTTTTCCATCTTCCTGACCTCTCAAAGAGGTGCAAATTGAGATCTATCTCCACCTAACCTTATTCAATAAACATGGAATATCTTCTTACTTTATAATACCCATCATGAAGTAAAAGGCACCAGTGCAGTGATGAATAGCAATCCACTTGAAGGAACAAAATTAACTGTGAACACCAAGTTGAACATTGAACAAGATGTTTGATTGTGTTTGATCACTGGCGGGATCCTGGGAACAACTTGTCCTATAAATTCAATACAAAAATAATTAGAGAGACATCTCGCGAATATGATAGGTATAACAGAGCAACCAGAAGTAACCAAATGGGACTGAAAACATATTAAGTTATTATGAGTTAGTACCAAAAACCAGAGCCACCCCTGAATTATAGATATAGTAACGCTATGTTATACTAGTATTTTCAAGACGATAAAAAAGAGGGATAAATGAATCGTTTCTACTGTTTCTATAAAATTAACGTTTTGTAAATTGAAATAAACAATTAAAACTCGTAAAATTGCCCTATCTTTCAAGATATATCATGTTACGTCTTCCGAAAACCTTGCGTTGCGTTGCGTCATTGAATCTTCGATTCAGGGCTCACACAATAACATTGATGACTTCAAATCAATTTGAGCATAATCCGTCTACGTGTTTTTTTTATATTTCAACGTCTTCGAGGAAATCTACGTACAATGACCACTACAACTTCACATCATTTATTTCAGCTATAGTTTTTCAAAAGTCCGGGATGATGAATTTCACTTTGGCCATTCTATTCCGCAATTCAATTCAATGAATCATTTTGCTTGAGAGGTAACACTTTCCAAACAGATTCGGAAATGCAATAATAATTGGTGATTGTTTCATCATGTGGGCCAACTTTTTTGTCATCTCATGGAACGCACGAAGCCCTATACAGGGTAACTCACGGTCCATGGTACGTTAGACGTTTACGGAGAACGGGACATAGGATCATTCTGAAATTTTGTTACCCGAGTAGTTGCTCTTGGTCTATCGATCTAAAATATTCTCAGCTCTGAGGCGTTGCCGCTTCTATCGGAAAGTAGCAACAACTTTGTTATTTCAAATGGAACACCCTGTATTTCATTGCATTTCCAGATTCTCTGTGAAGAGCTGATTTCATCTATGTATCACACTTGGGGTCTAGCGGAAATGATTACAGAGATATAGGGTGTGAAAAATCGTCATATTTCAACTTTAGGAATTTTTTTTTGTCGAAACTATTCATTATTGGTCAAAACGACTTACATGTCCCTATCTCAACTTTCGATTAACTATCTACTGATATTTAATTGGGACATATACCGGGTGATCAAGATTCTGAATTCTGCACCACCCTGTATTTTCTTCAATTAAATGTCAGTAGATAGTTGATCAAAAGTTGAGATAGGGACATGTGAGCCGTTTTGACCAATAATGAATAGTTTCGACAAAAAAAATTCCGTAAGTTGAAAAATGTCGATTTTTCACACTCTATATCTCTGTAATCATTTCCGCTAGACCCCAAGTGTGATACATCAATGAAATCAGCTCTTCAGAGAGAATCTGAAAATGCAATAAAATACAGGGTATTCTCATCGAAATAACAAACTTGCTGCCACTTTTCGATGGAAACGGCAACGCCGCAGAGCTGAAAATATATTACATCGATAGACCAAGAGGAAGTTCGTGAGTAACCAAAATTTCAGAATGATCCTATGTCCCGTTCCCCATAAACGTCTAACGTACCATCGATCGTGAGTTACCCTGTATATAATGTTCGAAGTATATCTTGCATACCTGGGGAGGATAGGGAAAGGAGGTGGGTATTGGAATTTTTTTGAACTTCTGGGCTTGTCGATTCCGTCTGATTGGTATCGCTAGCCCTGTATATACCTTAGACAAGAGTCCGGACACAGCAATACATCTGTCCTTTTCTGTTTTCAAAAAATGCATTGATGATTGAATAAAGGAATAAGAAACAATTTTGAGGATTAGATTATTTGTCAAACCGTTCATAGCAGTAGGTAAAAGTGAGAAATAGGATTATTTCAACTAAAATTTCTATTAGATTTTCGAATAATGAACAACAGGGTGTTCAAATATCGAATCGATAATTTCCATAATAAATTCCTGAGATGGCTATTGCAAATTTTCGTCATCAGATATTTTCTTCACTTCATTAGATATATGAAAGATAATTTAAGTGTTCTACGTTGTATCACATATAGCCAAGAAAATATAGTTGTTTTCTCTTGGGATATAAAAGATAGAAGATATATAATTGTTTCAATATAATTTTCTCCGATTCTCTCAATGCAATATTACTCAGCAGAAATAAAAGTGACAAAATCAAAACAACAATATATGCCTTATAAACATTGATTTTTATATTTATCTAACATTAGGGACGATGAGATGTCATAGATCCAATTGATAAACTATTATATACACCTAATAACTTTACTTATATTAAACTCATGGTACATATACTATATAGTAGATATAATGGAAATCATAATTGCAAGGTTCTTAAGATCAGTAACTAGGTACCTATATACCATCTAGGATTCCTCCGATGGTGACAAGGTTCCTGAACGTACAGCAGTATTCATAACAATTTGTGTATTTCATTGTATTGTATTTTATTGTATTGTTTATTGTACCCTATCACTTTGGCTGCCGAAGCAACCCTCATAAGCCTTCGAAGGGATTGTGAAAGTTAAAGTGAAAGAGGACTTACAGTTTATAGTGGATTTAGAATAACATGTAGGGAGCTGAAATGCTACCACGAACCAATTTCTCATTGAAAAATTATCTGATGATCATCGGCCGAGTTCGAATAACCGGCAGCATATACAGTGCCCGTCTAAAGTCCGTTCCCCCCTTACTAATTTTTGAACCACCTGGTATATCGCAACAAAATTTGAAGGGCTTCATTGGGACATAAGAACCTACTTTCTTCTGAAAGAAATTGAATCCAAAAGTTTCAAAATGGCGGCTGAGCGCCATCTTCAATATTTTGTAAAATAGAACACCCCGTATTTTATTCTATTCTCGAAATTTGCTCATAATTCTCAACAGTTTCCTCTAATACACTTGAGGGATCATTCAGAAAATTGAATAGCTTGAATTCCATTTCTCATGAATAATCGCAATAATGTTCGCAGCAGGACATTGAAATAATTCAAAATGCAAAATTTTGGCGGTCATAAAATTTCAAAGTGACAGTGACAGAAATTCGGAATAATTTGAAAAAGCGGGCGGTACGACTATGGTGTTTCGTCACATTGTGAGGTGGGCAAACCAAATGAAACAGAATATTGAAAATCCCAACGGCTGTCAGTTTTGTGTCCGGACGTGGTCCGGACTCTTGTCTAAGGTATACAGTCTGTCCAAGATAAGGTTGAACAGCATGAGGATCTCGGAAACGGTAGGAGATACGAAGTCGCTTAAATAGGGAAAAAGTTGCGCATTCGGAGGCTCATATCAAGAGCCTTCGAAAATTTTGGAAATTATTTTTAGTTTTTGAGTTATATCGAAAAAAGTGAATTTTTTGAATTTATATTATATTTTTTTTCTTCGTTATTATCAGAGATACAGAAAAACTGAAAATACTTTTCAATTGCAACTTTCGATGAGGTTTATCGTGGTGATACCGCTTTTTTTATGTGACGTTTCGTATTCGTGGAACGCATCATCAACTTTTGTTTTTTAACTACGGTCCTGATAATTTTTTCACAGATTCTGAAAGGTTTTTTTATTCTGAATTCAACAATGTACTATACAAGGTGATTCGAATGTGTTTCGACCTATTTCTATCCATCAGCCATCAGTTCCACTTATTTCTGATCATTTAGTGTCAAACTTGATGGATTTGTTATTCAATACTGAAAAGTGAATAAAAAATATTTCACTACATCATTCGATCAATGCAGCGTTTAAAATTGTTGATGAATTCTTACACGAATTACTTTAACAACTTAACTTTGACAATACCTACAGAGACATTCATAACAAATGTTCAAAATGATAACCATTATTTTCTGAACAAAGATATCCTCTTCTCACAGTTGCTTCTAAGACATTGCTAAGCATTTCTGGGGTTATTCTATTGAATTCTTCGAAGACACTGTCCCTTAGTTCTTCTTCATCATCAAAGTTATTTGCGTGTACAAAGTTCGATATATCCCCTAAACAAAAAAATCCAGCTGTATCAAATCAGGCGACCGCGCCGGCCAAGGGATAAAAACGCACGGACTTCTCTGGAATTATGTACCGGAGCGCCATCTTGTTGAAACCAACAGTTCTGAACTTCCGCAATCGGTAAATCATCCAGAGCTTCCTCAAGATGATTCTCAAGCGAATTTTTATAACGTTCGGAAGTCTGTGTTTCATGGTAAATAGAAGGAACAATAATTCGTGTACCAAATACTGCAACCCACATATTAAAGCCGAAACGGTGTTGGTGTCTCGCTGTAATGTATAAATGTTCATTTTCTCGTGAACAATAATGTGTATTTTTTCAATCGAAGCTACCATGATTAGTGACCATTCTTTCATCAGTCCAGATGATTGTGCGAAAGAAATCTGCAAAATTTTAACATTTCCTGGTATACCACTCACAGAATGTCTTGCGCCTTTCGTCATCGCCTGGTTTTAGCGCTTGACATATTCTGAATTTGTATGGATGGAATTTTTGTTTCCGCAAAATGAAATGGGTTGTTGATTGAAACCAGTTGATGAGGTATTAGTGTGTTGACTAATTTTCCTTCAAAATAAGTGGAACTGATGGCGTTTTTCCTTTGGAGTTTCGAAAAAACATTGATGATGACCAAAAATAGGTCGAAACACAAATGAACCACCTTGTATAATACATGGTTGAATTCAGAATAAAAAAACCTTTTAGAGTGTGTGGAAAAATTATCAGGACCGTATTTAAAAAACAAAAGTTGATGATGGTTCCACGAATACGAAACGTTGCATGAAAAAATCGGTATCACCACGTTGACCGTCATCAAAAGTTGCTATAAAAAAATATTCTCAGTTTTGCTGTATCTCTAATAATAACGGAGAAAAAAAATAAAATAGAAATTCCAAACATT